TGTGCAAAATCATATATTTTGCCTCTTTTGCATCATAAAATGATTAACATTAAAAAAATCTTTCTTGCACTATCAGGTATGTTTGATAAGAAAACTAGAATATGTATTAAGAAAATTATAAATATCTGATTTATCATAATTTGTAATATGAGAACCTCGTAAATGATATTTAATGGTCGAAAATTATGTGGACAATTACAACATAATAATTTAAATTAAGGTACAACTGCAAAAACGCCATTTGTATTAATTTTACTATATCATTTAGTTGTACCATTTATATCAATTGTCCTATATCATTTAATTGTACCATTTGTACAAATTGTCTTATCATCATAGATTTGATGGACTCGGGTTCTAATTCTAATTTACCTAAAATTCACTACGATTCAAGAACTACACCGACAAATTACCAGTACAACAACCTAATTGTCCCATTAAACTTGGTTATCAATCCAATTTGTATATCAAAATAAGCAATTTTTGGAAATTAAATTTCTAAATTGTGAAAACCCTAAATCTCCAAATAAGAATAATTTACTCAATTTTGAAGCTTCAATAATGGCACATGATAGAAGAGTAAAGAATTAAAAATCGATTGCAGAAGAGGAGGAAGAGACAGAGGTGCAAGTCCACCATATTAAATTTCGTTTTCAAGATCGATCAAACCAAATGATAGGGAAGAGAAGAAGATGAGAGGGGGATATTTAATAAAATAAATAGAAATTAGAAAATCAGAAAATAATAAATAATTCAGTTCAATTTCATTAAGGTTAAAATCGACATTACACAATTATTTATGGCACTAGATTCATTTATGGTAGGGTAGATTATTTTTTTCTAGTTTATGGCATTTTAGCCTTGCGCTCTAATTTGAAGTAATGATCATTTGAAGTAGTGATAATTTGAAGTGGGAGATTTCTTTTTGTCCACCTAGCTGCGTTTTGAATTTCTGAATGTTTAATCGGATGCAAAATTTTGTGAGATTAGAGCATCATTATCCCTAAAACTCTTAATAGGTTCTTAAGTATTTTTTTAATATTAAATATGGGTTAAAAAACTTTATTAAGAAACTTAATAATTTTAGTGGTATATCGGTAAAGCTCCAATAGATTTCTTAAAAAAAAAATAATAATAATTTGTTCAATGCCTGTTTGACACGTGTGCGAGAAATTAGTTTGTTCATACTTATTTGACACCTGTGCGAGAAGAACCGATTCTCCCAGCTCCAAAATAAAAATCGATTTTTATTAATTTTAAACTTTAAACATTATTTTATTACCTTTTTGGGTTAAGAAACCCACTAAAACTACTGCGATAATGATGGTCTTTAGATCTAGACAGCCTTTAGGATTTCTACAGTTAAAACAAAAAAAATGAAAAAAATGTTTCTTACACCATACTTCACATAAAACCCATTTTTTATGTCACTTGTAAGGTAGAGTCGAACTCTAGACGATTCTAAAACTTTGAATAATCAGCCAGTAGGTCAAAATGGAATTGAAGGAAAAAAAATTATAGTTTTGGAAAATGGAATATTAGGATCTAGACATCTAATCACCTAGGATTCTCCAGCTTGTATACGCCATCGTTGGATATATCACATCAATATGTCTAATCATACTGTATATGTTTTCCAAACACATACAACAAAATTAAATAACTTTCTATGAAATCACTCGTCCTACTCCTAAGGTACTTTTCGTCCATCAGGTTTTGATTTGATTAGGAATATATATACCTTTATCTTACGATATATTCATATCAAAAGAAACTTTGAACGTAAATGTTGTCGAATATGATATGCTGTTTTTTTCGATCTTTTGTTCTAGATTACTCAAATATAATAAATTAAAAATCATAGACATTTACTTAACATAATAGCCAAAAACAAGAGTTGAATTTGTCCCAATGATTGTATGCGCAATCACTTTGATATTTTGTATTTTGAAACATGTTTTATGTGTTCCTGCTTTGAACAGAAGTTTTAGATTCACTTAAATTTTTAGTTTAACGTATCTAATATGCGATCTTATGTTTCTTTTATTTATTTAGTAATTTATTATGTCTGTGTAGAGTTCAAATATCCGAAGTCCGAACAACAACAGTACTGTACTAGTAACCCAAATTTTATCCCTATCCATGGAACAATCACTAGGACATTCTATCTTGGTTTAATAGTATAAACATATTTAGAAAAGTTGTACGCAAATGTTAAAAAGTGAATAATAAATATTATAAATAGCACTCTAATATTTCTCATTTTAAATTGATTCTTATACTACTTATTATAAACAAATGTAAATTGTGTAATGGTCTACTGAAATTATTCTAAAATTAATAGGAAATGAAACACAGCGTTGGCACTTGGCGGCCTGCGTAAATTACACGTATAGAAAGAAGAATCAAACCTCAATAATGTACTAAAAACAGTTGCCAATAATTGACAATGATGTTGATTTGGCTCCATGATGTCGATGCAACATAGGGCTCACATCCAAACAAGGCACGTACCCTTGTGGCCCTGTTCAGTATAGGTGAATTTGAAGAGAAACAACTATTTACATATTTTTTTTTTCAAATATAACGTAACTTTTAAAAATATTGCATTTTAACCATTTCTGTAACACAAAACTGTGTTATTTCAAATATTCTGATGATAGTTTTAGTCATATCAATATATATGTAACAATATGCTGTTAAAAATTAACCTATTTTAATTTCCCTGTTTTCCTTTTCTTGTTCGTTTTAAAGGAGAAAATATCTTACTGAAAGTAAAATCAAGTGAAACTGATTATTTGAATTCGATTTTAGCTCACTCTAATTTATCTTGATTATACACTTGAAGTCCTAACCACATAAGTAGCATCAAGAAAACTCCAAAATAGTCTATACTCTAGACCGAAAATATTATTTTACCCCCAAGTCCCCAACTATGGTGTACATTACAAAGATGACACTGAGTCAATGGATCAATTACAACCTTTTAATCCTTTAAATTTAAATGACTATTTGTTGATAAAAAACTACTTTTTGATTGCAAGATAAATAAAAAGGATATATATAATATATATAACCATTCAGGAGTTCTTTTTCGAATATCATTTCAATGATAGTTGTTTAGTATAAATGTTCTAAATGATAAAATTATCATGTTCTTTCACAATTCTCAGGAAATTAATCTGATTTTAGTCTAAAATTCTCCTATTTTTTTGTTTTAGAGTCCTAATAGCAACAAAAAAAGATTGCAATTCAATGAAAATCAGTCCCAACAAAAAGGACAATAAATACATCACACGCATTAAACATATTTTTTTTTGTCGTACGCATTAAATAAAATGGGCCAGTGGGTCATTTCATTTCCAACTTTATAAGGGCCAATAAGCTCACGGCAAAAAGGAGAATAGCGAATTAATTAGGAAACATGAAAATGACTGGAGAAAAACAAAAACAAAGTCAATAGAAAAGATAATAAAATTTGTCTCTCGTGATATTTTTACCCCTTCATCTCACTTTACTGTATCTTCGACTGCTACATTGTCTAAACCCGATTAAGCAAGGTAAGTTGTTTCATTCGTAATAGTTGAGGTTTTATAGTTGTGGTTGAGTTCTTCTAATTTGGAATGAGGGTTTTGTTAATTTGGAGAAAAATTGAGTTCTTTGGATTGTTAAAATTTAGGAGGGCTTTTTCACGAAATTGATTTTTGCGTTTGATTCAATAGCTGTGATGATTAATGGATTAGTTGGTCTGATTCAATGGCTGTGATGATTAATAGAAATTAGAAGACTAAAGTACACCTTTTTCTTCAGCACACCTTTTTTTCTTTGTGTGGAAAAACTCTAGACTAAAGTATTTTATTTTAGATTCATCTCTGCTTGTGGCCAGTAATCTAGTCTCCATTTTTTTCTTCTTCTTTCAGAGCAAGCTCTTTGATAAGACTGTCGAAGAATGTGACCAGAATCACGAGCACAGGCTTGAAAGCAATGAGAATCTTTACAAAGACTTTCGGCTAAGAGTTCATTGTAGAGGCATGGCAGATATACTATTTTCAGAGAACATGTGATCCGGCAACTTCTCTCTTTGAAAGATCTTCAGAAACTGGTGTGGGAAGGATTGATCCTGCAAAGGGTATGAGATCGAGCTTTCTTGTTCAGGTGATGTTCTTCTTTGCAATGGAGTCCCACTCATCTATCCAGACATGTATGCCAAGTAATGGGTTGCTGTTCATGGAGTTAACCAAATGATCGCAACACAAGCAATACAGCCTAAACTGGGAGAATCTGTCTCATTGCTGCAAGAAATACGGACCAGGAGAAGAAGTGTACTCTCACTGTGCCTCCTTTTACTGGTTCGATGATTTCCTCTACCTAAAGTCACCACCATATATGCATTTTGCACCATTGTTGTAAAAGCTCTGTTTTTTGAGGTTTTTCTTTTTAGTGGATGTGCCAGACGTTTGTGGTGATGATTTTGACGTGCTTGCTAATTAGAATGAACTTAGATTCTATGCTGAGGTTAAGAACGTGTATGACTTGGTATGTTATGTATCACTTGCACTTAAAAATGGGAATCAATTATACAGATTAGAGCAACTTGACGAACATAGTTCAAAACTACAAGATGCTATGAAAATTTCTGAAATAAATCCATTTTTTTCAAAAATAACAAAAATATTATTATGTTATTCTGGTGATACTCATATATAGGTTCAAGGTTGGAGGTCATATTTTGGATGAAGATGATTATTGTTCAAAAAAAAAAAATACTAATAAAAAATGTTTATGAACCCCAACCATGAGTATTATGGTTGGAGATGCTCTAAGTTATTTCTTCTTGATTACATAAAATAACGTATACATTAATGTTACAGTGATAAAAAAAAAATATCTACATACCTATTCCTAGCTCTGCCAGCTATATTGGAACCCAAAAAAATCTATAGCAGGCTAAATGGTAAATATAGGGGTCAGAAACATAAATCTGAAAAACTTTAGGGGAAATCTACAGTTGTAGGAAAAACAGGGCTACAAACAAACATAGGACTTTGTCAATTGTCACTGACTCACTGACGTTCATACTTTTACAAAAAAAAAAAAAAAAACATTTACTTACACATATCACACATTTTCCGACTTAAATGCATTAGAAAAAACAGAATACCAAAATCGATCATAAACCGTTGATAATAAATCATACAATTTGGATCAAACCCGTGATATTTTAACGTCAAAAAGTTTTTTTACATAACAAAAAAAAAAAAACACGTACAAAAAACGACGCCGTCTTGGTTTCTAGTAACTTTGAGAGAAGAAAGGTTCTTGGTAATGAAAAGAGTCCCAAAAGCCATCGATTGTGTGGTTCACGTCGAGCAAGAGATCGGGAAGATCGGAGAACGCGTCGTCGAAAATTTCCGTCATAGCCGGAGACGACGGTTCCGTGCTCGTAGGAGACGGCGATGAAGACGTCTCTACCTCCATATCAATCGGAACTGCCGCTACAGCGGCGGCGGCGGCGGCTGCTTGGATGTCTTTAGGGTCTGCACTAGCCGGTCTAGGGAAGTGGTATGCGAGCTCCGGGAAGTTTAGGTGTGCTGAACCGCCTTTTATGGCTAAAGCCGCCACGTCGTGAGCACGCGCCGCCATCTCCGCCGTGGAGAAGGTACCGAGCCAGATTCTTGATTTTTTCTTTGGCTCTCTGATTTCGGAGACCCATTTTCCCCATTGTCGCATTCTCACACCTCGAAAAGTTGGATGCTTTGAAACAACTTTTTCGTCATCGTCATCATATTTGGCTCTTTTCTTCCTCACTCTTCTCTCCGTCGCCTGCGCCGGTGGATCCTGAAATCTCCGGCAGTCTTCAGGTTGTGATTCCGAAGGAGATGAGTGTTCCATTAATTGGATGTTTTGTTTCTTCTAGATTTATTGAGGGGATTTAAAAATGTAACGAAGGAGTTAATTAATTTGGTGGGAAGATTTGTTTGGAGAAGGAAATAGAATTGTTTTTTTTTTTGTTTGCTTGCTTGAGTGTGTGTGAGAGAGAGTAGAACAGAGGTTTGAGAAGAAGAGGTCGGTGTGGTGGTTATTATATACATCCAAATTGGGAGGCAGATTGTTATATTGTAGGCTTTACCTAAAAAACATATGTATACGTATTCAATACATCTTATTATATTTATATAACCATTTGGGTTTTGAAGATATTTATACTCTCTCTAGCTGTGAACAAAAAAAACATATTCATATGTTTTGGAGCCATGATATTTTCATATTTTTTATAAATATAATATTGGTTAGTCTTTTTTTTTTTGGTCGGCCATTTAGTATTGGTTAGTCAATGAATTACTTACCAAAAAGAATACTTGAGGAATTAATATTCATCTATAATATATTTATAGCTTCGATTGGTGATACCAATATTATTTACTAGCGATAAGTTATAAACGCTAAGAGATACCTGTACATTTATAATCAATAATTAAGAGATTACCCTAATTAATACTCCATCTGTTCAGAATTATTTGATGTTTAAAGTTTTTGCACACAGTTTAAGGATTCATTTAATTTTTATTTTTTCTATACTAAAAATATTATTTATAATTCATTTAAATATCATTCAGCCAATAAAAAGACAATATATAAAAGGTCAAAAACTATAAAAATTCATTAAATTTTGCATTGAAAAGTGAAAACATCAAATAATTCTGAAAAAAAAACCTTCTAAAACATCAAATAATTCTGAACAGAAGGAGTAAATAACGATATGGTAAGAGATACTGGTTTATTTTTCAACAAAAAATTAGTACCACTAGTATCAAAAATTACAATGAGAAGTATTTTAGGATGAATTTATAGCTATCATTTTTTGGTGATTCCATTTAAGAACTGATTACTCCCCACAGCTCCACGTTTGACATTTATTGGGCACCAAAGTAAATAAGTAATGCATTTAGTCTTCTCAGTCTTGCATTAAAAAAAAAAGTCTTCTCAATATATCATACTGATTCACTCAAATGTTAATTACAAAGCATTCATTTTTAATCTTTTTCGGTTAAAGAGTTTTCATTGAAAAATAATGAAAGGCATAAAGCATTCATATTTGGTGTTTACTACTATTATATCAGACTTTGTCGAGTTTCTACAGTCAATCCATATTTTATACATTGATGGTGAATATAATAGTGAGCACATAGCCTAAGAGTTATTGAGGTTTTGTACGTAAATAATGCTACGTTAACGAATATATAAGCATTTACAACTGCAGGGATTGAAAACAGTAGACGATAACAACTGATCCACACAACGAGAAACAAACATAGAGCATTGAAAACAATTCGAGGTCCAAAAGTTATCTACTTTGATTTACTATCACGGATTTGTTGGTTTTGACCCGTGATAAAAGCTTTTTATTAGTATAAATCTTATGAAGCCTTTGTACATGTCTAGGATATACAGAAAGATGTCTGGTGAGTTGTGTTTGCAAATTTGCCGATCAAGATTTGAAGAATTAATGTGTTTAAGTGAACAATTTGACTACAACATTGATATAGACGCACGCATAAGCAACCGCATAAGCACACGTTTTTACAAGGTAGATAAGATGTTACAAACAATTAAAGCCAATTGGGGATAAGATACACTACAAATACAAAGTACACTGTACACAAGATGCAAAAGCCAACCTTAGGATCTCATCGGCTTGGTACATATGTACATAGTACATAGATACTCGTACTAAAGTCTACATACATGTATAGTTGTCACATGCATCTATCGAAAAAGTCAAGTCAAACTTCGTTTTTGTCTTTGGACTCTTGGGTTAAAAAAGATTAAAAATACATAAGCTGTCAAAAGTAATTTTAATTAGGGTGTTGTCGTAACTACTTTTTACTACTAACCAACTAACATTCTTTAATTAATACGAATGCATATTTGTTTAATTTTTCTTCAATGTTGGAGAATCTAGATATAAAAGACAACAGTTGGTTAATTACAATAATTAAAAGACCAAAGATAGATAGATATTCAACCACCCAATTCGGTTTGCTCCATTAATAATTATAAAATTTGGAATGGACTGAAAAAATAACTAGAAGTCAAAACAAAGGGCAATACATAAACTTCAAAATGAGTAAATTCAGTCATGTTTTAAAATTTCTGTCTAAAAAAATATAAGAAAATTATGTTTGGATATAAATTCGGAAAAAGAAACTAGAAAAAATCGAGATCGGTTCATTGAACTTGATGTATTTTTTTTATCTATTAATGCCTCTCTAGAGATATTGTTCCTTATCAATTTAAGAAATTTAATATCTGATTATTCAAATTCCAACCCGTTGTTTTGTGTTATTATTTTCCTATCATTTGTGTTTCACACACTTCATATAAAGAGCACATATACAACGTTTAAGGTTAAAAAAAAAACGCACACATACACAAATGAAAATAGTCCACACATCCGCAGAAAAAAAATCAAAAGATTTCACATCTTAAACAAACTTTGGAGATATTAATTTCTTCATTTTTTTTACAGCACTTAAGATACTTCTTTTATTTCACATATGTTAAAAAAAATGCCGATAAATATATAATAAAAATAAACGCCGCAAAAAGAAAAGGCATGAAACCTCCAAAAATTTCCAAATAACCTCATGGCTCAGAAGTTAGAGTCTAGCAGAGCGAAGCTGTTGCTTAATCAACGGCCTTATGTATTCTTGGTAGCCGTCAGGAACCACCGAGTCATTGAGTGGATCCTTCAATGCTTCTTCGAACAGTTTTGGATAAACGTTTCCATCATAGCGTCCAAGAACAGAGCCAAGATAGTGGTCGGTGTAATCGAAGGCGTCCACAAGAGCGACTGCGTTTGGTCGAACCAGGGAGTAGAGTGACCGAAGCTGGTGGCTAGCGAGTGAGGCTTGTTCGGGAGTGATGGAGCTTGTGCTGAGGAAATCACCAAGGTGTTTGTGAAGGAGATGGAGTGCGTAGATGTAGCACAAATTATTCAGCTGATTCTTCACTCCTTTCCCTTCAATCTCTCCTTCTATTTTGGCTATAAACCTGTAAGATTTTCAAGTAATTATGGTTTTCTTGCCACTAAAGGTATGCACAGTGGGGATGGAAATCACAATGAGAAGGCTAGAACTATGGTTTATTAATTCTCATGATGAACTTTTCGATCACTAAACCACCATGAATTGGTTTAGTTCAGATTATTTATCTTAATTAGTTTAAAATATGGTGAAGAAGCTTATTACTTACTTGGAAACAACAATCAGCTGGCAATGAGCAATGGCAGCCTCAACAAGATCAGCCAAAAGCTCAGAGAATCCTTGTTCTTGATTCTCAAACTTGCTTAGATTGTTAGCACAAGAAACAGCCATTCTCAAAGCCCTTGCTTCAAAAGCTTCCAACACCATACGAGGGTTTAACCAATCCTCAGCTGCATGCTCAGCCAAAGATTATTCAGAAAACAAATCAAGTAAAAAGATTATAATTTTGATTATGGTAAAAATCCGCGGAAACTCACCTTTTTGAACTCTAGAACGACATTGTAAAAGATGCTGTGCTCTGCCCATATATGCAGTTGTCCCAGCAGGAACCTTTCCCGAACCCAACTGTGAAACTGTCTTCATCAGAAATCTAGCAACCTGAAGACCCAATTTAAAAAAAAAACATAACGAATTTTTAATACAATTTTAATATGCTAGCATATGAACAGTTAAAACTTTTACAAACGCTTGAAAAAAATTCAGGGCTAATGATAGAATTTGGGATAAAAAGTCTAGTTGAATTGACAATGTAGTGTTATTTTTAGAAGACGAGTAAAAAAAGAAAACCTGTAGTTGCAAAACAACATTGTCTCCCTCGTATGTGCAGGCAGGAACATATACAGCAAACAACTCAGGGAGGCCACTGCACCACAAGTAGCCATGTCCACCACATAACTTACGACATTCTTCAATACCATCCTTTAACCAACAACAAAAAAAGTTTGTTTTCTTGTTGGTTTTCAACTCTATTTAATAATTTCAAAACGACATCAACTTTGAAAACATACTGAGGTTGCTGAGGTAGTCATAGACTTCAATCCTGCAGTGCAGGCATGAGCTTCTGGCAATGTTTCAAAATCACTAGCCTCTAGTCTTTGTGTTACATCAGTGTACAGCCATTTCAGCCACTCCCCTACAAACCGAAATGCATATGCTGATGCCAGCAGAGGAAACAACCTGTTCTGCTGAGTTTTATAATCAATTACCTGCCACAAATAACCATGAGCATCCTCCAGTATCATATTCATGTTAAACAGCTCTGTCCGATAGTTAACTATAGTGGCAAGACTCAAGAGTACCTGTGTCTCAATTCCACCATTCTGTGAGCCAAACTGCCTTCGAACTGCACTGTACCTTGTAGCAATGCAGACTGCCCGAGCCATCGCATTGGAAGCATTTGAGACAATAGTCTGTCTCACAAACACCATAGTACCATACATTAGTTGTCTTGGAATATCTGATGCTACATATTTTCCTTCTTTTGTAACTTTTGACAGCCTGAGAGAGTAAAAATGCAGAGCCATCAATCATATTAGTACATGGTGCAATGCTGATTCACATATAACCAAATGGGCAAAGAGAGGGAGAGAGAGAATGAGGACCTCATGAGCATTTGATCCCTAGGAATACGAAACTGATCAAACATAAGAAAACCATTGTCCATTGAGTTATATGCCCCGTTTCCAAACTTGACACCTATATCACCAACCGTTATACCCGGAAGAGGAGAATGATCATCCAAACTGCGCAGTTGCACGATGAATCCTGGAAAAAAAAAGGAGAAAACATTTGACAATTAATACCGAATCACCTATAAAAAGAAAAAGAAAAGTGAACCAAGAGATCCTCGTGGTGCTTACCATGGATACCATGGTCTTTGCCATTGGTTATGAGACGAGCATAAACCACAGCATGAGTAGAAACTTTTCCCAAACCACCAGGCCACCACTATTTCGAACAAAACAAAAATTAAGACATAGCAGAAAGATTCAGTGATCTAAAAGATACATTTTTGACAAGGACATGTAGCCTAGTAATTTTTACTAGCGTCGTCATTGTATCTCTTTCCGGGTTTAAATTCACAAAATTCATGACTTTGACGAAATAGAAAAAAAACTCAATTTTTATTGGTATTCTCACTTTGGATGATGTCTGAGTTGGACTGTGAATGATAAACTGGTCAGTGTGGGGATCGAAAGTGGCGGTTGTCTCAAGGCCTTGAACGTTAGAGCCATGACCAAGCTCAGTTTGAGCATAACATCCGATTATCTGCAACTTATACGCTAAAGGCAACCACTTTTGTTTCTGTTCCTCTGTGCCCTGTCCTTTGATTGCAGGCACAAACATTCCCTGTCCACCACACAACCTTTTCAACAATCAACCAAACCCAGAAAATTTCCAAGCACTCAAAAATAAAAGTTGGAAATTTTATAATTGTACCCAGTGAAGATCCATGAAACCCGGTTGATCCATGAAAGACCTGAATCTGATCGATTCCTCATCAGAGAGACGAAGCTCGTTGATCATTTTCCAAGCATGAGCGCTTTTTCTCAGTGTGTTCTTGAACAACTCTTTCCTACTCATTACAGCTCTATTGCTTTTCTTAAAGACCTAATTAACATGGACACAGAACACAATAAAAATGAAACTTTCATATCGGAATTTCACCGGAACGTAGAAAAAGAAAAGGTAGGTAGAGAAATTCACCGGATCACTAGCGACGAGGCGGGAAATTCGATTAGAAACCTCGAAAGCGTGGCGGGAACCGGCCCACACGATCTTCATGTCGTCGACGTCGAACTCTGCTTTCTTCCTCTCATCGGCAAGGTGATCAACTCCCTCCATGATTTTCAGTTCTCAGATTCGACTGTGAAAAAAAAAAAAAAACGATATTCAAAGAGAAGCCATATTTTAAGAGAAGTACACTTTGGGCGTTTCAATAGGAAAATCCCTTATTTAATAAAACAGAGGATTTTTTTTTTCTCTATTTTAGGCAGAAAGTGATGTAATAAAGTAAAGAAATTGTTTCAAAATTTTCACCATCAATTAGATCCGGTCTTCTCTGCACAGTCACTCTCCTGAATTATAGAACATCAAACATTCAAACCGTTAATGTGCAAATATATAAACCATCAACTTGGATTGGAAGTTCTAATTTGGTTTCATTATATATGTATATATATATATTGTTGTATGTAGCAGCTTCTTTACATGTACGGATTTGTGAAAGATGGTCGAATTTCCCCTTTCCAAAGTTCCACACTTTTCAACCAATGATGTATTATGAGTCTTGAGGATATCATCCCTTTGGGGTAAAGAAATTCTGTCAAATATCATCCGTTTATAGGCTTTCAATTTAAACAATACTCCTTCCGTTTTTTATTAATTGTCGTTTTAGAGAATTTTGTTTGTTTTAAATTAGTTGTCGTTTTCAGTTTTCAATACAATATTTATTAATTTTTTATTTTTTTATAGTTATTTTTATTATGCAATTTATTTTATTATTGGTTGAATTGTATTTAAATAGATAATTAATGATGTTTTTATATTGAAAAACTAATACAATTAATATTTTCTTAATCTGTGTGCATAATCTTAAAACGACAACTAAATAAATCCGGAGGGAGTAAATGAATTAGTCTTTAATCTTTATATACTAGTTTCACAACATTTCTTTTTACGCTCAAAACAATCTATAAAAATTTATAGGAATAAATATCCACCCGAAGCCCAATAGAATATGACCCAAAAATCGAATGACTCTAATACCATGTCAAATAAACTAATTTGACGTCAATATACTTCTAAAACCAAAAGCCAATAAAAAAAACATCATTAAAAGAAAAAATTAGCAGTTCGTTACTTTTCACAAAACAATTGGGTACAAAGTTAACAACTAGTTTTGGGTTTCACGAACAGAGAAAATTACTGTAGAACAATAATCATGAGGCAGACATATACAGTACTAATATGATACTGCTAAGTAGTGTTAGCATGTTCTTGTAAACACATTATTGTCTTGGAAAATGAGTTTGAGATCAAAGTTGAGGTAAGGGCTATATTGTTTGAATTATAGTTGAAATATTATGCAAAGTAATAAGGTTTTATAGACTACATCTTATCTAGTTGTTTTTTAGGAACTAGTTTAGCAAAAAAAAATTTGATGAGTTTATATATATATGACCACTAAGATCATTGATGATTAGAGAGTCATCACCTCTTAGTAACTTTCTGTTTGGTTTTCTCCTTTGTCTTTCTAGTTGGCTATTAGCCATACTTTTTGCATGATGCAAGAGTCTAGAGCTCATCGGTTTTATTTTGTTTATGAACTGGTTTTTGTACATTTTTTTCTAGAATTTTTAGATTTTACCTTGTTTGAGGCGAAAAAAATACTGTCATAACAAAAGAGAAGCAAATCCAAAATCCAGAAACCAACTAGAGTGAAGCGATCATGATTAGCATGGTGCGGATGGTTAGATTTCCAAGGGTGACACAAACGGCTCCGAAAATTATGGTAACAGATGTTTTTGTCAGATTATCATTGACTGATTCCTTCTCTTGTTTTATCCATACTTAGAGTGTATGTTATCTGTTGTTTGTTATGTTCTTATTTTGATTTTTGCATATCAAGTCTCATGCATTTCATTTATATGCATAGAAAAACAAAAAAAAAAATTTGAAAAATTTTCCACAAAAAATTTATATAGTTGCATTCACATACTAGGATTGAGTCTGATTGCATTTCATATAGGTTGTATTAGCATTTGCATAGGGAGTAATGATATATTTTTCTAAGAGAAAACATAATTTTAAGAGTTTAGTTTGCACTTGTTGTTAATTCTCTAATTCATTCAAGAAGTGAAATGTGAATCACTGTTTGAACTTTGTTTGAAGTAGATTGTGAATTGAACTCAACCTAAGATAAGTAAAACTTAATCTAAAATACAATTATCATGTGATGCATATTTGAATGAACTTGTGGATAACATATATACATATATTTGAAATATCTTTCGTTTTTACTACATTAGTTATATCTTTTAGTCTTATTTCTTCTTCTCATTTTTGTCTTCTTTTTTATCTTTAAATATGCTGCCAATGCATTGCTTTAAATTCTTTGTTTTCTCTGTTGCACAAAATTTGTTCTTTTTTCTTACTTTGGCTCACCAATTGTATCTTATATACATGTCCATTAAGTATTAACTATGTATCTTGACTCTTATATAAAAGTATTTCAAAAAAAAAGTTTAAATATTTAGTTACAATAATTAGACTCAAATCATTTACAGATCATAGTGCCATCATTACTCTCGTAGGATGTTGATAATTTGGTGAGCTATTTTTGAGTTTTTGTTGACTTTAAATCACTCAAAATAGTCTATTTGTAATTGCTTTTTTAAAATAAAGTACATATTCTATTGTTTGTTTAATATAATATTTTAGATGACTTGATTTTCGTTTGCGAATGGAGAACTTGAATTTAACTATTTAAGCATATACAGATATACTAGATAATTAGTTAAATTATTTGTTTTTTATAACAACTGTCCACATATGTGAACACCGACTTCTTCCATTTCTAAGGGCGTTTTCAATTGATTTTTGTTTTTAATTTTGTATTGAAAAATTAATAAGGTTTTCAATTGATTTTTGTTTTTAATTTTGTATTGAAAAATTAAAAACTTATCAAAAGTCTTTGTTTGTTCAATTTTCCGAAAATATTTGTTTGAGAGAATTAAAGAAAGAAATAATCCTTAATGTTATCCGGCCTTGTGCGATGCATGACTCTTACTCCATAAATCGTAATGACACGTGTCAATATATAATTGACTTTCATCTAAGCTATTAAGCCAGGTGAAATCGCTGTAAGTTTAGCAAAACCTTCTTCAAACACTCAGATCCTTCTTTTAATTTTTGGTTCTCCTCTCTTTAAGAGAAACCTGAGGTTGAGTAGAGATTAGGCAAATTCTCGATCCCCAAATTTGAAAAAGCTGAAAGTTGTTCTTAGGGTTCTTTTGTTCACTTTGCGATTCTTCTCAATTTCTCTTCGATCCTAGGAGAATCGATTATTCATCAGTTAGTCGCTGATCTGTTTTCAGAGTCCTCTCCGTCTCGTCGTAGCCGGCGCCTGATCGGATCAAATTGTTCAGGCGAAATATGGTGGTGATCTCCCTGAAGATTTTGAATTCAACTTTTCTCCGATCGCTTCCGCTTGAATTTCTCAGGATTTCGATTTCGTGTAGACTTTCTTCTTGGCTTTGTCTGCGAATCCTGTAATACCATTAGGGTTTTCATTTGTGTTTGATGATCACTCTGTTCAGCCGATCGTTATTGTGAATAATCTTTTCTGTGTATATAAGACTGGTGATTAGAGGGTATCGGTTGGGAGGATTAGATTGCTTGTGTGTTTTGATCTCTAGATCTTTGACTGAGGATATGTATATCGAAGAACTGACGGAAAAGGAAGACAAGGTGGAGAGACTGGTGGTGGAGGATAGCGTCGCTGATGGAGATAAAGCGATATTGGTGAGCAGAGGAAACGTGATTGTGTTGACGACAAAGAGGGCACTGGTTGGTGTTGGTGCTCGTGCGTTGTTCTACCCAACCCTGATCTACAACGTTGTTAGGAATAAGCTCGAGGCTGAGTTTCATTGGTGGGATAGGGTCGCGGAGGTAAAATTTCGTCCTTTTAGCTGGTTTATGTCAATTTAATGGAGATTTTAATATTATAGAAATTGTGCTGCTAATGGAGATCGTCGAAAATCTGCTACTTTTCTTACAAACTGTGCTTTCACCTCCAATCGTTTGTTTCGGAATTCTGTTGATACTCCTCCAAGTATGTTAATTGGATTTGGTTCTGTCTTTTTGCTAATCATTCTTTCTATCTATTGATTTTGTTTCTCCAGTTTATATTGCTGGGAGCCGTTCCATTCCAATCTGATGTTCCACGGCTGAAAGAGCTTGGTGTTTGTGGAGTGATCACTCTGAATGAGCCATATGAAACTTTGGTTCCATCATCCCTCTACAAAGTCTGTTCTTTTTTCTCCATCTTTTAATCTCGCTATCGTGAAAACTATACTAGTTCCCCCTTTCTTTTGGTTTCCTTCTATTTACTAACCTCGTTTGATTTTCTTGCTCTTATGGAAGTCTTACTGCATTGACCACCTGGTGATTGCCACGAGAGATTATTGTTTTGCTCCTTCCATGGAAGCAATATGCCGAGCTGTAGATTTTATCCATCGTAAGTGTACCTTCTCATCTTACTTTCTGTCGTTGTTGCAAGTGCTAAGATTCTTATGGTTGTTGGAAGCAGTGTTCATCTGATTTTGAATTCTGAAATATCTCGTTGAAGGAAATGCTTCGCTTGGGAAGACGACCTATGTACACTGCAAGGCGGGTCGGGGCCGCAGCACAACTATTGTCATATGCTACTTGGTTTGTATTGCAGTTAATCCCATAAACAGTTTGATCAAAGACACCTTTTTTTCTCTCTCTGATCACATCTTTGCAACACAGGTGCAACACAAAAACATGACACCCGAAGCAGCATATGCATACGTGAGGTCAATCAGGCCTAGAGTTCTTTTAGCTGCCACCCAATGGAAGGTATTAGACAGGGGAACGTTCTTTGTTTTGTTTTGTTGTTCTTCTTCATAGTCTGATTCCTAATTGTGTCTGCAGGCCGTTCTTGAGTACTACCATGTCAGGGTGCTGAATACTCAACGTGCCTTAACTGATGCAACTTCAGCTTTGATCCCGAGAGATGTGAAGCAGGTTTGCTCTGGCAATGTTGTTGTGTTCGATGATGGGTCGATGGTGGTAGTGACCCACTCGGATGTAGAGGGGTATGATGATAACTCACAGAGGTCAATGAATGTTGCGGGAAGCGAGTTATGGGCGGCAGCTGCAGATCTGAGCATGGTGTATCGGGTGAAAGTTGTGGGACAGGCTGCATTGGCGAGAATCTCGTGCCTGTGGCTTGGCTTGCGTGAGGACCACAAGCTTTCTGGGAAAAACCTCTCCATGGGAGGAATAAGCGTCGACATTTCTGTCTACTGATGATGATGACGAAAGATGCAGGTGAGTCTGTTGGCGAGCGAGCGAGTGAATATGCCTTTTTTCACTCTTTCTCCCCAGTCAAAAAGAAGTCTATAAATAAAAAAAGAAAGGGTCAAATTAGATAATAGAAGAAAGCAAGGTTTGTAAATTCTGAAGAAAAAAAAAAAGACTTGGTTTTGTCGTCTGGGTATTGTAATTAAATACTACCTCATGCCTCATTTGCCTTTTGATGAGGTAAAAGGTGAATTAATCTCATTTACAAGTATCCAGATTAGCCTTTTGAGTTTCTCTTACAAGTCATGAATTAAGAATTCTGGCAATAAAACAATTTGGTTAATTTATCGAGGGCTATAGTCATAGCGATCCTCCAAATTCTAATAGAATTCCATTTTTGAAATGAATTGAAGTTAAATTTAATTACCTTGAGATTATTATCAGAGAGCGATCTCAGACAAGATCAGAGTACTGGAAATCTAAAAATATGTTATGATCAATACATTTTGAAAAGAAAATCTTAACGATCCACATGTTTACTGTTTATCTTCATCAACTTCCATAGGTTGTTTCTCGTTGCAATTAGTAGTAGCTTGAGAGGTGGAAGATGATGCTGCTGCTGCTTGTGCGTTCTGTAGGAGTGTATTGCATTCGTCGATGGTCTTGCCGCAGACGAGACCATGCTTCCACAGTTTAACCATAAATAGTCTCCACTGCCTGCGAAACAAATTTTGGTGATGATTCCAACGCATTTTAGTATCATATATGAAGAGTACGTAGATGGAAGATTATTACCAGAAAGCTTGAGTACCGATTAGCTCTTTCTCATGAAGTTTTGTGAACTCTTCACATGCCCAAGGAACATGTCCATACGCAATCACCCTGCCCCCAAAGTAATCAACACAACAACAACAACGTTTTCACAAAGGTGATTCTAGTGTTGGATCACTCTTTATCTCAAAAATCTCTTTTTAAACTTTAAATCCTTTTGTCCGAGTTCGACATGACCAAAACAATTTCCGGACCAATATTGTCCAAAAGTTCATGCAACGTCCGGTCCAAAGCATAGGCAAAAGAAGTCCTAACTAGATGACGTAGTAAACTCTAGGATGCAAGTAGAATAAAAAAAAATATAGATACCTTTGCTTTCTCACAAATGAGTTCCAAAGGAACATAAATCCTTTTCCTCGTCGCTCACCTTCGTCAACTGATTAAGCCTCTGGGACATTTTGGGGGACAAAAAGAACAAAGGCCTTTAGGGTTGAGTTATGATCTTTCATAACAACAATTCAATGAACATAAAAAGAAAAGGAAAAAAATGAAATACCATGCGTTCTTCAATGTCTGCAAATTCATCATCAACTTCAGTTTCGCTATCCGCATCAGACATTACTTGTTCAAAAGACATTGGCTTCCACATACAACTTTGGTTAGTGAAAAAAAAAGAAAAAAAAAAGACAGCATTGTTACATAAATCAAGACATGAAGAAGGAAACTAAAACAACCTGAAATGTTTTAGAGTGATAGAACTGCCGTTTCTTAAGACGCTCAATCCTGGAAAAAATTAATATAATCTTGGTTAAGTATTATGAATATTTTTTTTTTGGTCTAAGTATTATGGATATTTATTAAGTAAAAAGAAGATTATGTAAAGTTAGAAATTAAAATATCAAAAGAACGAACCCTCTAGCCTCGGACCGCGCTGCCAATAACATTTTCCTCCTAGAAGCAAGAGGCACCTTAGGTTCAGAGGACTGACCTATCTCTGGTTGAATAGTTTCGCTGGACTTTTCCGAAGACTGGGCTCTTGCTTAGTTGCTGGGGATGAAAAGTTATCATCGTTTTCATCAGAATCAAGCTTTCTAATGATATATTTCATTGGGGATGAAAAATTATCATCGGGTCTTATACCGATGCAGGCCGTGAAACTTGAATGACGTCATCACATGTGAGGAACAAAACAAAGATGTCATGTGATGACGTCAATTGAAGTTTCACGGCCTGCATCGATATAAGACTTTTGTATATTTGCAAGATATATGTTGGAGTAAATGATCATAAAATATTTGAATACATATTATTTAAAAATGAAAGATATCATTAGAAAGCTTGATTCTGATTAATGCCTACCTCGGGGGCTCCACATTTCTTTGAGCAAAATGAAAAATTATCATCGAACTCGGGTCTTATATCGATGCAGGCCGTGAAATTTCAATGACGTCATCACATGTGAGGAAAAAAAAAGATGTCATGTGATGACGTCAATTGAAGTTTTAGGGCTTGCATTGATATAAGAACTTTGTATATTTGCAAGATATATATTGGAGTAAATGATCATAAAATATTTGAATACATATTGTTTAAAAATGAAAGATATCATTAGAAAGCTTGATTCTGATTAGTGCTTACCTCGGGGGCTCCACATTTCTTTGAGCAAAATGAAAAAATTATCATCGAACTCGGGTCTTATATTGATGCAGGCCGTGAAACTTCGATAACGTCATCACATGTGAGAAAAAAAAAAGATGTCATGTGATGACGTCAATTGAAGTTTCACGGCTTGTATCGATATAAGAACTTTGTATATTTGTAAGATATATGTTGGAGTAAATGATCATAAAATATTTGAATACATATTGTTTAAAAATGAAAGATATCATTAGAAAGCTTGATTCTGATTAGTGCCTACCTCGGGGGCTCCACATTTCTTTGAGCAAAATGGGCAAGAAAAATCCTCCACAACTGCATTTTAAAATGTATGTAGATAATCATAAAATTTTCAGCAAAAACACAGCGGGAGACAATATATTCTGAAAGGAAATAACCATGTTAAAGACTCACCTTCAGATTTTAGAAATTTGTTATTACTATCCATATAGTTGAAAATTAATTTCCCACCTGAATTTTTCCTATTCAAAATACAAGTGTGGGTGTGGTATGAGCAGATAAGAAGCCATTTATATGTATTAGAAATAGAAGAAGAAGATTTCCTAAAATACCACGAACCAAGTTTTAGTTCCAAAACTACCATAAGTTTTGTGTTTACGAAGAGTTCATAAATTAAATGATTTTGATTGTAGTTTTAAAAAAAAAGAAAAAGTATTTAGAATTTTCTAAGATAGTATCACTCTCTGAAAACATAAGAAAATGATAAACCAACATCAAAGAAGAGAGATTCATACTTCTTCTTTTTCTTTGCTTGGATTTTGTAGCTCAAACCTCTTAAAAGGAAATATGGCTGCATAGCAAAGGAAAAATAACCAATAATTGTTTTTCAACAAACAGACTTCCTTGATTAAACTATAAATTTTCTAGTTACTAAAATGGAAACAAACAATTTATACAGAAAAGACGAAGAAAAATTCAATAAAGTGGTTCTGAGCTAGTAATAATAAAAAAATGTTTGAGGAAAGAGAGAGAGAGAGAGAGAGAGAGAGAGAGAGAGAGAGAGAGAGAGAGAGAGAGAGAGAGAGAGAGAGAGAGAGAGAGAGAGAGAGAGAGAGAGAGAGAGCATACGTTGTGCTGTGAGCGAGTTTGAAGAATGTTGTAAAGCATAAGAGGTTTGCAATATATCATGAGTTTTTCATCAACGTCAGAAACAACGTACTTTTCATTCTCCGTTAAGGACCTAACGCTAATATTCTTCCTAGCCATCTGCTTGATCAACTACAAGCTGCCACGACATGCATAAACATTGAATTAGACTCTGCGATCCTCGCAAATTAGCAGAAATAACCAGAAATCAATCTTAAATATATGTAGAGTAAAGTTATATGGACAATTGTCTTACCAGATTTTGGGTTGTACAAAATCTTATCGTTTTTATACTGCAAAAGAAAAAAAAGCTTAAAAAGAGGAATTTTCTTACAAAGTTTGATAATGAAAACAATAGACTGCATATTGTTGATTCGTACATGTCTATAAACCTAATCATACAACCATTCACGGTTCTGTTACCATTTTGTAGGTTTGTATTTCTCCATGAATATAGCTGTTGATGGTTTTTTCATTAAATTAATATAGAAAAATTGGCGATAAAATTTTTTCATGCGAATTTAATCTATAAATATACTGAAACAAATCTAGAAATAGAGATTTCGATTTACTTCTTGATCTTGTTGCGCGCAATCGAGATCCTCTCTTGTTAGCTATAAACTTCATTTCTAGCGTTGGTGCGGCGGATTTCTGTGATAGTCACATCATATTTATAGGGAATAATGACATACATGAAACCCTAAAATACATAAGATATTGGATTTTAATTATTGTTAAATTCAAAACTTATATATTAATTTTGGCCCAATTAAAATCCAATAAAATCACATAAAACCGGCCCTGAATCCAAATTAAAATTTGAAAATTTTAATTTTTTATTAGTTTCATGGACTAAATTTTTTTTTTAAAAAATTTTAAATGAATATTAAATTTATTCAAATCTAAAAAAAATAACATTTTTCTACATATGCAAGCATTAAAATAAATATAACATTAGTAAACAGAGTTCAGAAACAATATCTTCAAGAGTTTTAAGAGGATGTTAGTGCAACATATGTTGAGGATTCTAACTTTTTTGTTTGGAGCCATCAAAAATTATGAGCCATCAATAAAAATACACTTGGGAGTGAGGATAGAAACAATGATAAAAGTTACAAAACTTAGGACGTGGGTAGACTTTGAGACTCGGCCAAGTAATTACTTACGAAGATTCTAAGTTAAACGTCTAAATTATTAAGAAATCAAATGATACGGCTGGATAGAAAGATGTATCGAGAACACACAAATTGTAGAAGGGATATCAATCTATTATATAGAGATATAGTGCATGGATATTCTCCTAAGATGATATTGAATGGAATGTAAAATTTAGTTTTGATTTTGGCTCATGAAATACTAAAAAAGACACAAAATATTAAAAAGTGGATGTTAAGTGTGTTTCTCGGTACTCGAAAATAACACATACACACTCAACAGACACTGATTTGCCGGGAAGAGCGCGTGAGCTTGACTTTCAAGGGGTAAAATAGTCAATTCGCATTCACTATATAAAGATTTCTCCTTGTGAACCCGAGAAGCGCGTAAAAAGTAGAGCAAAGAGAATGCGTCGATCGGCGAGCGCCTCCATAGTTTCCGACCAATTATCAGCCAACACTCCGTCTCCATCACCGTCTCCGCCGCGAATTCACAGCGTCACATCTTCGGAAGATGCCCTTCTTCTTCTGCCTCGCTACGACCCTAACTCTTACCCCGGAAAAAAGGACAAATCGCGACTCAGATCCGCCGAGAACGCTATCCATTTCATTCCTCTCGTTCTCATTCTCTGCGCCGTTATACTTTGGATGTTTTCGAATCCAGGTAAAATTGTTTCCTCTGAGATCTCCTCTGTTTCGCTGATTGTTGTCTGTTTATTTGTGATGGTCCTCGAATCCGATTGATTGAGAATGATTTCTATCTTGTTGTGATAAGACTTGTGTTTATCAATGAGCAAACAGTGACGATTGGCTTACATGGTGGAAACTGGAAAGACAGAGTTTGATGACTTGAACGGACGATTATTAGGTGCCTTCTTTAGTTCAAAGCTTACTCTTTTCTTGTCAAGACAATTTTTTTCAGAAATTTTACCTCTGTAGAATCTAACGATATGTATTGTATTTATTCTTTTACAGAGATTATTTAATAAAAGGATCTGTTTTTACATACATTTTCTTTAATTATACGTTGTTCAAGTCCCTCTCTATATCCAATGGAGCGTATGCTTGTATATCTCGCTATACAGACAGATCAATGCGTAAGAAAATTCAGGTTTTTGAACCATAGAGAGGCTCACACTCGAAGTTTGTGTGTTCAAGCATTGGTCCGAGCCTCACTAACTTTGGTATGACAAACTTGTCTCTAACGGAACACACAAGTGGATTGTCCCATTGCAGAAGTGATCCAACTAGATTTGCACGTACTGTCAACGGAAAAGCCCGAGACCATCTCTCACTCCCATATGACTCCATTGCCTCTTCCACTGATTCACTCCCTCCATTGATTGCACCGGCGAGTTTGTTCGCCAGAACAACCGAATCTTCCAAGGCACAACAAGCACCTTGCCCAAGATTTGGAGTCATTGGGTGCCAAGCATCTCCAACAAGAACAACTCTTCCTTTTGATGCAGGAGGAGCTATTCCAGGCCATAGCCACCGGTCTACAAGTGGAGTCCTGCTGATTGTTTCATCAGGTGTTAGATCAATGAGGTCTTGCAGATCTTCAGGCCATGTACTAACCAGTTCTTTGGCTTGTTTTTTGAGGATAGCTGGATCCGTAATCTTTGGCCCTGCATAGATATCTCAAGATCTATAATATAGGAATTGAAAGAAGAAGTTATCTTTGTGGAATGTCTTGAGGAGTGTTGAAAACCTACCTAGAGATGGGCTATTGAAACAGATGAACCAGTAGACTTTTGTTGCAGATACTGGTACATATCCAGCTCGAAGCCCTCTTCCGTATATGTAGTTCACCTTTCTCTGAAATGGCTGTCCATTTGGATAGAAACCGAGGCCACGGAAAGCGCAATGACCAGCATATTTCGGCTCACTGAATCCCATCCAACTCGCGACCTTAGACCGAATACCGTCACAACCAATAACAATCTGTCAAAGACATGCATAAAAAAACTCAGCTAAGTCACATTTCTTCTTCTGGTCATAGGTTGATGCATCCTGATGTCTAATAAGCAAAAGATGCTTGAAGGAAAGGTAAATCATCCATGTAACCACAGTAACCATAGGCCCAGTGCCTGAGAGAACAAATACATTTGCAAGCAATTGGCTTCCATCTTCAAGTTCAAGGAGAGTGTCACCATTGGCATTGCTTTGTATTGTTTTCAGTTTTGAGGAAAACCGAATGGTTTGTGGAGGCAGCTGGCTAGCAAGTGTTTCCAACAGTACTCGCCTCTCCACCGCCCGAACTTCTTGGCTATATAAAATATAAAAGACATGCTTTGATTACACAAAGTAATCAAATCAAATGCTTTGAACCACCCTCGTGAGCAAGTTATAAAGTGCTTACCTTTGATCTTCATCTTTGAATTTGAAAGAACGAAGCTCTCTTCCATCTTCCTGCTTCACTACCATCCTGCTCAGCTGATCATACCAACACACTCAGGTAAAACCAACAAGTAAAAAGTCTCTGTTTTTAGATCATAGCTCCTAACATAAGTGTGATCTGTCACTGTCGGGATCATTGCCCATGTTTTTATCTATGATCTCTGATTTTTCTTTTTTCCTAATTGATGGGCAAAAAAAAGAAACTGTACCCTTCAATTTCGAGGAACTGCGTTCGGAGTTGAGGCCCGACGGAGATGGCGTCCAGAACGCGCCAACCGTTCTTGAATAGCGTCAGCGATGTTCCTCCGGTCCGAAGCGACTCTGCTTGCTCCAGCACCACCGACCGGATTCCGAGCCTAAAACCGTCAACCAAAATCTCCGGTTTAGTGGCTCTTGAGTTTCAAGTAAAAATTCAAAGAACCGGTTTTGTAACTCGTACTTACCGGTGGAGAGAAACGGCGGTGGCGAGTCCGCCAATCCCGGCGCCAACGATTACTACGCTCTCCTCGAGGTCACCACCGCTTGTTTGTGCTCTGGTCATCGCTAAACAGACCGGTTTTGAACCGGTTCGAACCGAGAACCATCTGTAGCTTCTGGCTGAGGAATGGAGAGGTGACTGTGTCGGAGGATAGATCGGAAGCAGAAAAGACATTGCCATGGCCACGCTTGTGAATTTTTTTTTCAGGGGAGGACAAGTGGATAATGCTTATTCATTTGATTTTCATCCATAAAAAGTGCAGACTTTTAAAACTTTTTTCTGTAGTTAATGTGAAGCCACGAGTTCAACAAAGACACAATCAAGACCATGGTGCTTTCGTCACTTTGGTTATGTTGCCTCACCATGTCACTTGCTACTTGGCGTGTCCGGGTCAAGAGGAGTTTGTATTAGTCATATTTTGAGATTCTTTGTGTTACAAACACTCAAGTGGTATATATATAGCATTTTTCATAGACATCCCCCCCCCAAAAAAGGGTATTCTCAATATTGTATCATCTAAAACACTTTTGAAACATATTGAGACTCTTTGATCTATTATCTATGTTAGGAGGAAGCAGGAACATATTTGCCTACAAAACCAAAACCAACAACGAAGAAGGCCGTTGACTGTAACAGAAGGTACACATAGAGTGTGTTCTTCCCGAAGATGATGTCGTAGCATCCGCAGAACAACAGGTACGCTCCAACCAATAACTCCAGCAAATGCACCCTGCAACAACAATAATAATAAAGCTCAAACTCGGTCAAGGACTCAACCAAAACCAGTATGACATGTCTACTTACCTCTCCCTGAATCTGACATGATTTTCTCTAGGCACTTGTGCAATCAGCTTCGTCTTGAGACCGTCACCTAATTTCTCAGTCACAACCCATTCTTGTACTCGTCCTGTTTCTAACAACCCCATGACCAGAGCCTTTGTTCGAAGCAGGGACATAGCATTCTCAAACAGAACCCAGAAAGCCAAAAGGTGGATTGATCTGTTAACAAAGAGGACAAAATGTAAGAAGACATAAAAACGATAATTTATATATATGCACTTTGTTTTGAAAGAGTAAGAGAGGGAGACCTTAGTCTACCGATTGCGATAAAGAGAGTGATCAAAGAAGGGAGATAAAATGCAGCCCATTTTGGAACTGTGACTTCTGGGAACATAACAGTTGCTGGCAAGATAACACAGTAGAATCCGAAGGTGAGGACGTGAGCCACGATCTTGCGCATAAAGAAGAAGCTGTAGATCATATACAACTTCTTCCCTACAGAAACATTCTCGCTCCTTATTATTTGCCCAGCCATTTTTCTGAATAGATTGGCAGGGCCACAAGTCCAACGATGCTGCTGGCTACGGAGGGCGTTGAAGGAACAAGGTAACTCACTTTTCACCTACAGATAACAGACTCAAAATTGCTTAAAATGCACAACCCAAGATGCCAAGAAAAGAGAGTAATCTTCTATACCTTGAGATCATCGATATATAGAAACTTCCATCCTCTGAGTGTGGCTCGTACAGCTAAGTCCATGTCTTCTACTGTTGTCTGGTCATTCCATCCCCCAGATTCATTCAGCGCTGAGATTCTCCATACGCCAGCTGTTCCTGTAATAGTTTCAGACAATAAGAAAAATCTTATACTGCGAAAAGTAAAGTAAATAAAAAAAATGAAGCAAAGAGAACTATACCGTTGAAACCAAAGAAGGCAAATGTTGAAGATCCAACTTGCTGCTCTACTGTGAAGTGGTAACTTAGAGACATCTCCTGCAATCTCGTCATCATGCATTGATCCGCGTTCACTGTGATGCCATGAGATTGTTAGCAAAAGCATGGCATTATTATGTACCAATTTTAAATTTGTGATTAGAACAGAAGAGAAAGGTGTCTAAGGAACATTACCAAACTCCCACCGGCCTTGGACAAGTGCTAGCTTTGGATTGTGGATTAGGAAAGGAACAGTGCGAAGTAGGAAGTCAGGATCAGGCTGGAAATCAGCATCAAAGATAGCAACATAGTCACACTGTTTCACATAGCTATGCTTCATTCCTTCTCTCAGAGCACCAGCTTTGTATCCGTTCCTGTTATCCCTTATCTCAAAGGTTACGTTGACGCCTTCTTTCGACCATCTCTCACATTCTTTTTCCACTAACTCCTGTTTCCTTCCCATAATTTCCACATTACCAAAATGTTAAGGGACTCACTTGAACACAATAAAAATTCATGAGTCCATCCAAAACACAGGGCTTGAGATGAGGAAGGAGAAGTGGTCTATAGAGGTTAACAAGGACCTTACTGGCTGGATCAGTGGAGTCATCAAGCACTTGAATTATTATACGATTCGATGGCCAAGAGATTTTGCAAGCAGCTGCAATTGATTGCTCACAAACCTATAAAATACAGTAATCCCAACCAAAACAGTTCACTAAATACCAATCACTGTGATGATACAGAAAATTAGTTGCTTAGGTTGTTGTTACCTCTTTTTCATTGTACATAGGTATTTGCACAAGAACCATAGGGAAGCTTTCACTGCCACACTCAACATCATCCTCCATAGCTTCCCATTTGTAAACTTTCTCAGGTTTTCTCTTGAACAACTTGACATACGCTACCACAATTCCCATGTACATCATCTCTACGAAGAGCATGACAGACATGATCAAGCATAGAGCCACCATGAACTTGAAGACAGGTACAACTACTACAGCCCTTGTTTGACCCAACCAGAGTCTGATTCGGGCAAAGATGTCTTCCGATGTAGGGATGGCATTGCGGAATGTTGATGCTTTAGAACTTCCAGCTTGAGACTTCAATGAGAAGTAAACAAAGAGAAGACGATTAAGTAAACCAGAAATTGGCTCTCGAGTTTAATACATTCAAAGACATCTGCAACTATTCTTGAATCCGGAAACGAACCACGTCTTGATTATAAAGATGTAGAGAACGTAGACACACCAAGTTTTAATACACTAAATTACAAAACTGACAGAAAGGATAAAGATTGGGTATTTTTTAACAGATCTTCTTAGTATCTCAGATCTAAAGCAATGTAGCACGCAAGAAATGAGCAATGACGAAATGGGTTCTTACGATTTAGTGAAATCAACAAAAAAAGTTCCATCCTTTCCAGAGAAAATGTTGACGAGAAGTCCAAATTGAAGAAGCATTAAAGTCGTTGCAAGAAACCCAGATTAAAAAAAAAAAAGGAAAAGGAATCAAAAGCAGTCGTAGATAGCAAGCAAAATGCAACATTCGTCAATGGAGTAGAGAGAAAGAAAGCGAACCAGTGAGAGAAGAAAAGAAGAGAAGGTGTCGTGAGCAAGACGGTGGAAGATTGCGAGAGGAGACATTGAAAATTCTCCAGTCTCTCCCACAAATCGCCGACTGCTCCGTGGCCGATAATGTCTCGCCTCTGTTTCTCTCTCTCTCTCTCTAGTCTTTTGGAGTCAACTTGGGATTTTCATCGGCCAAGTGGGCCAATTCAATTCCTTTGCTGTCATTTAAAAGATTACTAGATTTTACCCGTGCATTCGCCCGAGAATTTTATCAAAATTTTTAATATATTTTATGATTTTTTGTAGGTATAATTTTTAATAAGTGTTAAAGATTCATTTTTTGTTTATATATATAATTTATATTTAATTTTTCTGTTAGTATCATTATGATCACGAACATAAAAACATAATTATAATTCGATCATTCTAATAATCGAAAAAAGACAGTTATTATAAAAACATAATTCTAATTCATTATTTTATCGATGCGAAAAAAGACTATGGTTATAAAAACATAATGCTAACCCATCTTTTCATATTACTATATAATAACATATTTACTAATTTTGAAATATTTTTAGCTTAATACCTTGCATTATTTGATAACTTAGTCCGCATAAGACCATAATTATAAAAAAAACTTAACCCGTCCCATCAAATTATCATATAATATAAATATTTATCAATTTTTATTATGTAAAATTTTGACTGATTGATTATGATTAAAAAAACACAATAACATATTCGTTAATCATATATTTATTATAAAAATATTATTTAAATTTCAAATGTTAAATTAAATCTAAACTATATTTAAAGAAGTATAAAGTAATTTAAATTAATATCTAACTTTTTAGACTTAAACTTAATTGTAAATTTTTAAAATATTTTAATTTTTAAATTAAATATAATTTATATTAAAACAATCTTTAATTATCTAAATTGATATCTAATTTTCAGAATTATTTTTTTATATAAAAAAATATTTTTTGAAATAATATTGCAACATAATAGAATAATCTTAAAACAGTTTTCAAATAATTATTTTTAAAAAAATTTTAGGAGTGTTTGGATAAAGTACTAAAAGTGCTTCTGTTTTAATATAATAGATTTGTTTTTTTTCTCTCTTCTTCTTAACAATATTGGTGGTATGAATCTAATAATGGTGACAAACTGATAACTACCCTCTCTCTTTTTTTTTGTCGTCAAATTGATAGTGATAACTACTTAATTATGGACCACGTTGGAAACGGCATTTAGTAATGAATAATGTCAAAAGTTAAAACAGATACATCTATGTACATTTATTAAAGAAAAATCTTCTAAATTGAAAAGAAAAAAATGATGCCCAAAAAAACAAGAAGAGAAAGAATCTTCTCAAAACTATCATGTATACACAATAGAAACGTGGTGGAGCAATATAGAAAATATTGGATTCATTGTAATCTGTAACCACATTCTATTCTAATTGAAACATATTCTACCAATAAGAGAGGGTCCTTGTGAGTTGTGACAGTGTCTTTTTGTATTGATGCAGTAAAAGGTCAAGAATAGATATGAAATCACATAACCCACCAATAATACTCTTCCCTAGCGCGTGCTCTTACACGCTCCACACTTCAACAACAAAGAAAACACAAAACTTTTTAAGTGTATGATAGTGATTAATTACTTACTCCATATGACAAGGCGTCTATAGTAGGAACATTTTGCATGGTTGATAGGAGTAGGACTACATATATATATTTTGAAGGTTACAAATCAAGAATCATATATCTACATATCCTAACTAAGCAAATACTTATAATCTAGTCAATAATATCATTGTGGACCTCCTTGGTGATTTTGATTGTTATGGCACGAAGAAGAAGAAGAAGCCAAAGTAAAAATGGAGGTTGCGAGTTTGTTGATGGCGTCCACCACGCCACTCATACCTTTTCTGTTTATCTCAGCTTTGGATTCCTCAATCTCCAGTCTCCTCTCTTGCAACCTCACCACTTCCTTATGGCTCCTTTCTTGTCTCTCGTCACTCTCTCTTATCACTTGTGCGATCAGAGACGCGCTTCTTGATAACGCCGCTCCAACCGCAATATCCTCTGACTCTCTCTCTTCTCCAATCGTGCTTTCTCTCTGCTTTGTTCTCCTTCGCTTTGCCGGATATGTGTCTGAAGAGTGAAGACTCAGTCGTATCAGAATCTGAGCTACTAGCCCTCTTCTAAGAGAATAATTAGAGAGATTATACTGAACAATATTGAGTATATATTTTGTATTAATTTCTTCATCGATCAAAATTCAAAATATGGGTTCACTACTTTAAATCTTAACATAATGTTACTCATTTTTTGTTTTTTGTTTTTTTTTTTGTTTTCATGGTATAATTGTAAAGTTTGGATTTTTAATGCATCATTTGGATTTTGGACTGATTAAGACAAGCTGAGAAGTAGCTATTTATTACACAGCTGAACTTTAATTACTAATCTTAAACTAAAAATCCAGTTTTTGGGGTCATTTAGTTTAGGAGTTAAAGAAGAGGGATAAAACGGAAGGTACCTACTATGGGCTGTAAAGGCTCAGCTTGAAATGTTGACGGTGGAAGTTTTGGCGGCGGAGGATGTGATAAGGCTAGAGATAACTGTGTTGGAAGAGGTAATACAATAGTAGCCGGAAAGATTTGATGCAACGGCTGAGCCATCACCGGAGCTTCAAATCCTAAACTGTGTTGGCACATTCTTAGGATCTGGCCACCGGAAGAGCCACCGTTACCGACGGCAACGGTGGCGGAAGAGGAAGACGAAGGTAGACCCTTCTTCTCAACAAGTTCAGCCAACGCCTCGTATATCTGAGGCAGCATATTACTCGGCAAGTTCTTCTCTTTCCTCTCAACCTTCTCCATCTTCGAGTAGGAAGAGGAGCCGGTGTTAGGAGACGATTCTACCCTCCATCTCTCGTACTCTCTGATCTTCTTGTAGCTCCTCATGAGATTGTCCCACTTATCGTTGCACTGATTCTGGTTCCTCAGACATCCTTTCCTCCAACAATACTCCTCTATCCATTTCCACCGGAGCTCCGTCACGGAGCTGTGAGGGCCGATAGATCGCTGCACACGCCTCTCTTCGTCCATCTTCTTGGCTTCTATGAGCACCAAAGTCTCACTCACCGTCCAATTCCCTTTCCTATACTCTCTCATAACCACCACCTGATCAGTCTTATGTGTATCTCTGAATCTTTTGAATTCAAGAAGTAGAGAGAGAGAAATAAGTGTTGGTGAATGAGCGAAGACCGGTCAAAATCTGTACTAAGATTGTCACCAAGTGCGAAAAGACAGTGCTTCCAATAATGAGAAAAAGAAAAAACAATATAGACAGATGGTTCCCATTAAAATCAATTACCACATTTTCTGCATTTTTCTTTTATTATCATCTCTGTACTGTAATGTTCCATGAAAAGTTTATGTGAATATAAAGGAGGCGGATGACGCTATCCCGAACATGATGATGATTTCAGGGAGTAAGCATCGGTTAATGAGTCATACAGACAAACCAAATCTCAAATATTTAATGTAAGAGAGACTGAATGAATAATATAATAAGTAATATGATGATCCAAAAACACAATCAAAGAGAACATCATAATATTCCAATTTCCATGAATTCCACCACCATAGGAGAATAATACAGAAACAAAGAAGATGTTCGTTCAATCTTATTTATTCAGATCAGAGAAAAGAAGCAGGAGCAAAACCACCCCTAAGAGCAAGAACCAAATGAAGAACAGAGCCACCCTCAATGTTGTAATCTTTGGCCGTTTTGTCATCAGCAAGCTGTTTCCCGGCGTAGATAAGCCTGAAAACAATAAACCACAATGAGTTAGAATCCAACAAGTAGTGCACATGAGACCCCCAAGTTATATAATGGTTTGAGAAAGACGCAAACAAAAGAGTTTTTGCTGTTCCATATATGCAGAACATTGCAAACAATTTCATCCAGGGCCAAAGTAGAAAACCATAATCAGGGCCTTAAATAGACTTGTTGTGGTGTGAGCACAACGAGTCAGGGGAAGAGTTAATGTTTGCTCAATAAGAGAAAGAAGTGATTTTTAAACCTTTGTTGTACAGGAGGGATGCCTTCTTTCTCTTCAACACGTTCCTTGATCCGATCAATTGTATCGGTTGGTTCGATATCAATCTCGATTTCCTTTCCTGTGAGTGTCTTCACTTTTATCATGGTTCCACCTCTGAGCCTTAACACCAGATGAAGAGTAGACTCTTTCTGGATGTTGTAATCCGCTAGGGTTCTTCCATCTTCCAGTTGCTTACCGGCAAATATCAGCCTTTGCTGATCAGGTGGTATACCTTCTTTGTCCTGTTCAAAATTGAAAGTGAAAGAATCAATTACCAAAAGATCAAACCATAGCTTTAGCACAATAAAGCGTAACTCTTTGAGCTGAGCTGAGCTATTTCTAGATGAATATATCGTGAATCTATGGGTTTTAGCTATTACTCAAGCAATTCGATCAAATCGCATACAAGATCCTTCAAAATCAAACAACAGATATCTGCTCGAATCAACTCTTAATCATATAGTATAAGGGTTTTACTTCGATTAGCAGGAGATTACATCAGATCGTTTCTCAAATCAACAGCTACATGATCTCAATTAACCCAGAAACAAGTAGAAATTAAAGGCAACAAAACAAGAAGACCTAATTGAGCGAAAAGAAAACCTGAATTTTGGCTTTGACATTGTCGATGGTGTCGCTGCTCTCGACCTCAAGGGTTATTGTTTTTCCGGTGAGGGTTTTGACGAAGATCTGCATCTCTACACTTGTCGCCAATAATTGAATTTTTCCTTCTCCTTTGGCTCTCTCTCTCGGATGCTTAGGGCGGGTCTATCGAATGTGTATATGTGTGTATATATATTCACTGGTTAAAAGGGTCGGTCACTTTGGTATACAAGCGTTATGACTACGCCAATTTTTATCATTTTTCATTCTGACTTTGTAGGCCCAATTATGTTTTCTTCTCTTAAAACTCTTTTTTTTTTTTTTGGTTTCTATTAACCGGGACTAACAGTTAATGTGGAATTTGCTAGACGACAAAAAAACGTGGAACTTTTTATTAGAATATGATGGAGTGACGAAAGTCTGACTTTTTTTTTTTTGTCTGACTATATAGTTGATATACGGATGGACATGAGAGAAAAATAATAGCCTTTACAAAAGAAATTAGATAAACATGAGACTTTAAACAAAGCAAAGCCCATGAAACATTATAAGATCCATGTACAAAAGTTAAAAAAGTAAAATTTGAAATATATATCATTAAAGATATAAAATAGATCTGGGGAACTTTCGAATGCAAATGCTTTTAAAGAAACTAGTATTGTACATGACTGATGAATTTTTAATTTTGTTGAATTCAAATTATTATTATTGTCTTCTTCAGAATTCTTCATTTGCATAGTTAACATATGAAACAATACTAAATGGAAATAAGTAAAAGGGAAAAATTAAAAACTAAATATTATTGATTTTTATTATATCGTGAAAAGTACACGAAAATTGATCATTAATTTGATCCAGGAAATTTAGAAGAACAAATGTCTTGAAAGATATTAATAGGATATGATTTGCCAGGATAACAAACTAAGAAGCAAGGATCAAGAAATGTGCTCACTGCTTGGCAACAATCTTTTGATAGCCATCTGTAATCTGAATCTGACGCTAATCTCAGTGCATCGTAACATCCCGGCACCTTATCTATGGCGGTTGTATCACAATTTTCATGCCCCACTAATTCCGCTCCAGATTGTCTTAAAATCAATGCTGAGATTAAGGCTAACAAGAAAAAAATCACTGTAGTTTGTTTTTGATTCATTGTTGAGGATATGAAAAAAAAAGAAAAAACTGTTTTGTGGATTTTGATTGTGTAGAGCTAATGAGAACTTATAAACAGAAAAAACCATATATATATATATATAGAAGATGTGTGAATTTTGACTATAGAAAAATCAAAAAAATTGGAAAGTTTAAAATATTTGTTTGACCCATACGCAAATCTACAATCAATTTTGTATTAATTACGTCATACTATCAAGGAAAGTGTACATTAACTCTTTCCATTGAGCGGGTTTCATAGAATATGCGTGAATTCATAATATAAAAAACACACAAAAATTGGAAAGTTTATAGATTTGTTTGACACATGTATATCGACAATCAATTTGTATATCAATTATGTGATACTATCAAGGAAAATATACAATTGCTGGTTCATATATTCTCGCCTTTCTTTTCTCATACAAAAAAAAATCATTCTATATCAAAAGTCTTCCATAATGACTATTGAGGAGGGTAAACAAATATGGTATTTGAAATACCGACACTTTCAGTTTTGGTACGTAGCCTTTGTAGTTAAATACAACATTATGTCTGGAGCCAGTATAGTGATAAATTGGAGATAAATTAAAAAAAACCAATATTGCATTTTACATTTTTAACGACTCTTTCAATAGTTTACTTGTGACACAAGGTGCAAAGCTAACCATTGAGAGATAGATTTCGTTTTACGAAAGACAATTTCTCTTTTAGACCAAAGTCACTCGGCAAAAAAATACATGGATTTTTCTTTTGGTGTGAGTTTTTTAACAATAACAATACTTTGATTCTTGATCAAGGGAAAGGCTCCGAAATGTTTATTTTCCGATCAAGCTCTGCATACCATACTTTCCAAGCCTCCTTGTAATGACCAAAAAGACCAGTTAAATCTCTGTTTAATCTCACAGAAGCCAAACAGAATCAAAGAATGCAGGATTTTATATAACACGCTTCAGTTAAGATTTGAGTGTGGTTGTTACCTTAATTACAATACTGTGGTCTGTAGGTAGAAGCAAGGGCCTCGAGATCTTGTAACCTAAAGTTATTTTTTTGGTTCCGACATCGTTCTTCCTCTTAGATGCACCTGTTGGTGAGAATGGGCCAAACACATAGCTCTTTGCAGCTGGTTTCGTTTCTTGCTCAGTGCATCATATTTCTTATATCCAATTTGCTTGTGTGGTTTGATGAACAATTAATCTGTTTTGTTTCTCTTTGTTGTCAAGTTCAAGTTTGTGAAATCTCTTCCAAATACCCGCTTCTTCGGTTCATAGGGTTTAAAGAAGCCAAAGAGAGACAGTAAGTCAAGATATTCACTTACCCCAGAGCAAAGAAACATCTTCACAAAGTTCTGCGAGAGAAGCCAGAGACATTTCTCCTTCTTGTGGTCTTAGAAAAAAGATAGCAAAGTGAGTTAGCTTGCGCAATTTAGAATCATTTGCAACAACAAATCATGTCGTGGATTGAAATCCCAGTAGTCATTAACAATTACAAGACATGTGGTTTTTATCTGGTAGAAAGAAGATGCAGATTGATAATAATCCAACATAACAAAGCACTAGCTAGAAAGAGAAGATTACCCATTTTAGAAAGTGATGAATCGTTAGGTGTTAAACTGAAAGATTCTTCTCTTTCATCATCGTTTGAGACCTATTACGAAGAATTGCGTTAGATCAGAAGAACTATAAGGGCCAAGATGAGCACGAAATTATTGAGAACGACCACAGAGTCACAGGTAACCAATCCAATGATTCACATCAAATGAAAATAAAATGTTAACATAGAAGGAATCATATTTTGTCTTGTTTAAAAAAAAACTCAAAACTAATTTTATGTAGAAATACGATTATGATCACTAACAAATTAACAATATACAAATTCTCCTTAAGCATATTATACAATTAATCTTAATACAAACAACCACTAAATCAGAAATGGCTATTGCCATAATCAATTTGTTGAAAGCAAATTTGTATAACAAAACATAAATTTACAAGCAATATTAATTAGATTTTTTTTTAATGTTTTTATGAATAAAAAAAATTAAAAGTGAACTTCAAATTACAGTATAATATATTTTGTAAGAAAATAAGCTTTTATAAGTATTTTATACTAATATTAGGCACTGGGCCAATGTTTTCCAATCAATCATAACATACACAGAGCCCTGGAGAGAAGTAACAAAAATGGCGAATAGGTTTTTCATCGAATTTAGTTCAGAACTTTGGACTCCAAAAGATTTGAAGTTTCTTCTACATATGTTCCAGTGAGCCACCTTTGAGCCTCTCCATTCGGGCCTGGAGACCGGACAATGCTTTCTCATCCATTGGGAGAACCACTGGATGTGGAGTCTCTGGTCCCATTTGGCTCGGGGGAACGGTCTGTTGTTGGTTCATTGATATGTTCTCCATTGATATGTTTTCGTTTGTTTGCATCAGCGGTTTGCTTACTGGCTCAAGGGTTCCTGATGATGCCAGTTGCATGGTCCTCATCCTCTCTCTGATTGCGTCTAGCGTCCCAGGATTGATGTTACTGGCTCGGAGGTCGTCGGTGTATGAATCAGATTTAGGGTTCATCAGAGGCTTTGCGTCTAAGGAAGGAATATCAGGAGATGGAAGAGCTAATGAAGAAGGGGGAGGAGTTGATAACGGTAGGCTTGAAGGCGTTCTCCCCGCAGCTGCGTTCTTCTCCACCTTAAAAAAAAAAACCGATTGCAAATTTTCAAGACAAAACACTCAAAGAATTACAGGAAATGATTGTAGAAGCTAGGTGGATTTGTTACAAACCTGGGCTAAACCGTCTCTTATGTAAGTACGAAACGCTTCGCTAGCGTTTTGAAGTTGGGAAAAGATATCAACCTACAGGCATTGAAATGAGTTTGCATTTATGCAATTTGGCTTGAATAGTCGTGTGGTGATGAAGAATAGGAGAAAGAGAGACTTGTAGTCCAAAGACATATTAATTACCTTTGGATACGACTTAGTGATGTGGTAGAGGTCGTAAAGACCAATGGTGGAAGTTTGTTTATCACCGATTTTCTTGAAAATCGCCCCAAGTTCTTGCTTCAACTGAACATCAGCAGAATTAGCGGGAGGTGAGGGATTGTTGGCTGTTGAATCTGTCCAATGGGTTTGGCCTACAGGTCCTGTTGCCGTTAACATTCTTGCTGCAGCTAAAGTCTGTAAGATAAAAGCATTTAAATAGTTACTATAGATGACATCTGAATTTCTTGAAACCCATTAAAATCCACTTGCAATATGGAAATGCTTTTTTTGAGGATGTATTATTTCATTAAGCAATTTAGGATAGATGATATTTCAAGTTCACCATCTCGAATATATGATTTTTAGTGCAACAGATCGTCCAGATGTGCTATGTGAGAAACCATCGCTTCAGCACATTTGCTAAAAAATTCTGGACAGGAAGCTAAAAGACTGAGAATTTACCTCAAGGTTCAGATCGATATAAGCCAGAATGATGGGTTGTGGCCTCATGTCAATAGGGACAAGAGACAAGTGTCCCTTTATTGCAGCTCCCCGTAGCTTCACAAGTTCATGTAGAACAGTTTTCACCATCCTCAGTGGTTTATCATCTGCCCCAGCTCTTTGTGTTGGAAAATATATCAACAGAGAACAAAATATTAGTGAATTGATAACGTTGAGTACGAAACCTGCGCATAAAAAACAGACCAAGAGTTGCAAAAGATATAAGAGTTCATTTATGGAGATGTACCTCCTACGGATCTCTTCCATTCCCAGCTCTTGCAGATATACATGGATGCTCTGAAGAAGTCGATCAAGATCAACCTCATATATGGTGCTTTGGAGGAGCTGAACATGAACAAGCAATTATCAGATACCAAACTTTATGACGAATATCTCATGATCAAATTCTACGGAACGGACTAATTTCGCGTCCTCCTAAGGATCCACATTCCAACACTTCTCTCCTAGAATTTTACTTTGCAACAAGTGTAACATATGTATCTGTCTCACAAAAGTTCCTATTTTGATTTCTCTCTTACTAAAACCAGAACAAGTAGTTTAGATTGTAACCAATTTTGTTGATATAATAAAGCTTAACATTAAAAAACAAAAAAAAGTTATATGACACTGTGATCGGAGCAAGGAGGAGCGGCGCGTAATGGAAAAATAAACAGCGGGGCTGGTACTTACAAGCTACGTAAGTTATGCCAACAACGATTGTCCTACAACAACCTTTCATAGAGATTTTACCTTTGTAAGTTTAATTAGGCATTTAACTACCAAATCAGAGAATTTCTGATTTCGGACAGCATAAACTTCAGCCGTGGCAGGTGAAGGCCATCTAGATGGATCTAGAGGACGTAGCAAGCTAATAAGGACAACGAACGATGATGTACGATCTGCATTATCCTGAATTTAATAACAAAAAATGAAGAGGATCAGAGAATTCCATAGTTACACATTAGAGAATTCCATACTCTCATATGAAGAAAACCCTTAGCATTGGGAGGAATATCTAACCAGGATCTTAAGCATCAAAACATTCAAAGCTTTCAGAAGTTGGCTGCCATCTTCCATACGTGGAACTCTTTCATCCAAAAGCCAAAGCAAGAGCTCTGTTATAAGGCTTTCTAGGGTCCCTTCTTTAACTGCATGGGCAAGCTTTTTATTTTGGAATGTCTGCAACAATACACACTAGTGAGCTTCACAGACAAACCTCAACGAGGAAGAGCAACATCACTAAAAGAATTAAATCACCCGTGTTACCTGCATAAGTGTGTTCAAAACATATTTACAAGACCTCGATGAAGCTCCCATTAAACTGACGTCAAATGTCTTGGCAACCTACCAGAAAATATATATATATATATATATATATATATATATATATATATATGTTTATATAAGTGGTTTGTTCATGACAAAAGTAAGTGTAAAGAAAGTTTATTAGGCAAACCTTATTTGCTAAGCATGAAACAAGCCCATCTGCATCTTTCACAAGTTCATCAATTGCACTCTC